TTGATTATTATCTCTACACTTGTTTTCTTGTGTCGGTTTTTAAACTACAACATGATGGGTAATAATCAATAATCATTCAGATATGAATATCTGTCAGGGGCTTTTGCTTGAGCCCCAGCTTGAACTGCAAAGCTTTATGTGAAGAGATTCTTGACGGATAAACTGATAAACAGATGATGAGTGTCGAATGGAAAGAGCAGAATGAATTTCATTTGCTGGTGAAGGAACATGTCGTTTCATGGTGAGAAGTGCAAGTGAGTGGGTGGGGGACACTCGAGTTCCCCTCTGTGTCTCTCTTTCGCTCTGTCTTTTTAGTACAACTAAATGCAGAAGTCAGACTCCGCCTCCAGTGACCTCGTCCTGCAACAACCTGCTTTATTCTACCAGGTGATTTAAAGATGTTTTACTGCAGAGATGCACATGGAGTATAAACATTTTTATGACACTAAGGTAGGGTAGGTTTTGTGGTGAACGTTCTTACCTGTCTCAATGTGAAGTAAGTAGGTGTCCGTGGTCTTCGGAGTGGTCCCAATCTCCATCTGCTGTTGACTGCTTGGCTCGCCACTGGACCGCCGAAGGTTCAGAATCCTAACCGCTCAATCCCGGATCCAGTAGTAGAAAACAATCTACACGCATGGTGCAGAGAATACATTCAATTACATCCATATTCATCACGTGACTTCCTACCACTACTCTGATTCTCTACATGTACATACTCAGATACAGCACATGTACACTGTGCCAATGAACATGTATTATAATATTATTCAATATTTATATTTTTAAACAATTTCTTAACCAATATTTATCTTTTTAACTGTGAATGAACTGTGTCAATTCACTCTTTTTTGTTTAATAAACATTAAGTATTTAAAAACCCTCAATGAAATAAATCACTTTACATATCCAGAACAATATCATCACAGCCTGACATCACATCCCACCTGTCTCCCTCATAAAACACGGTGGTGTCATGATAATTTTAGCTAGCTAACATTAGCACGTGTGTTTGCACACTGGAGCATATACCTGAACTAGCTTCGCGATGCTAACCGCGACTATCGTTAGCCGCGACTGTTGTTAGCGCTTTTCTCAACTTGTTTTTTCTTTTACATATGTCATAATGGATACACATTACCCCGGTGGGTGGAAACACTGACTAATATCTCCACGACTCCGACTGGTTTTATAGAAACATTCTTGGTGGTGCAACATGTTCACAATGAGCTAACATAAACAAGCTAATAGTGAGACCTAGCCTGTTAGCATATAGCTGTGCTCTTATCGGAGGCTTACACGATTTAAGGCAGCTCTTCTCTCTCTCTCTCAACACTCGTAAGGTTCTCTCCTAACAACAAAAGCGGTTTTTCAGCACATTAAATGGGGAGTTATTCATTAATTTACGGTTTATCTCATGTTTTCCAACCCGCTCGTCAGCTCACTAGACGAGCGGTGCTCTCGGTTGACTTCTCGCGTGAGTCTCCGAACGCGTGGTCGTGACAATGAACACGGGGCTAGTTCGCCACCACGTGGTGGGACGTGGTACTGCATTGAATTACATATATGGATGTTGTAACCATGTGGGTTACATAAAACTGTCCCAGAGTTCGTCTTTGCGTCGGTGTAAAACTTTGTACTTTCCTAACACTTTAAATGCAGAACCTTTTGTTCTGGTGGAATATTTTAAATTTTTACACTCATATTACAACTTTTCCAACTTTATGAATAAAATCCACCTGCAGCGGCTCCACGGTGCTGTGGGACACTTTCAGGTTCAGCAGCAAATTACAACAAACATGAAACAAAACAACAGGACTGATGGTGTCCCTGCCTCATGTTCTACAGTATTTCAGCAGGAAAGCTCATGAAGACTGCATTAACAAAAAAAAAAAAAAACCCCAAAGACACATTTCACTGGAAGATGGTTCGTGTGGGTTTTCCTGGTTTCCCCGACCTAAAGCGTCAGGTCACATAGATCAGTTGTGAATAGAGTTTTTAGTGGAGCTCTTTATTACGTTGCCTCTTTAATTGACCTTAATTAGTCATGGGCACTATCAGCTACTGATTTTCATCAGGGAAACCCGTGTGGTCGGTGTGTGAAGTGTGAAGTGTTCCTCTGCGTCCTGCAGCTCAGGCCCACTCTTCCTCTTTCTGTCTGAAAACAGACATGAGTGGGTGGTGGTGGTGGTGGTGAGCTCTGCTGCCTCTGAGCTCTGAGCTCTGGTTTCCAGTGTGTGTCACAGACAAACACCACCACCTGCTGGTGACAGAGCACACACACTCACACACACACACACACACACAGCTGAACTCACCATCGACCGTTTATGTTCCCTGTCTCTTTGCTGACGCCACAGAAATCCCCCACTAAGTGCAGAAAACTCGACCTATGTCTGAATTATCGCCAGGATAAGTCCTTATCTCAGACGAGCTGTTAACATGTATCAACCATTGATCAGGTTGCAGTGTACCTGCAGGCCAGTACAGTCCTGTCTGTGACCTTGACTGCTTCAAGACCCAGTTTAAGTTCTGACTCTGTTAAAGTTAACGTCTCTTAAAAATGTCGACTGAGCATAAAATC